AAGTAAATACAAAATTTAATCCGTGAATATGATAGAATAGGCCTTTTCTGAGCATATTTACGGATTAAATTTTGTATCTACTTCTTAGTAAAGAAGTTTATACATTTTACAAAATATAAACGTTCGATGACTTTAGATTTTATGCACCATACATATACTCATTTGTTTGACAACGGATACATTTACTACAGTCATGTGTTTTGCAGTAGTAATCATTTCGACAAGAGTAGCATGCAACAAAACGATGAGCATTTGATTTAGATACCATCTTTGAGTTTATCTCAGTACTGATTATGACAGTGTTTATTTAAAAAAGATGATTTATATATGAGTGAAAGTCGTTGTTCACCTCCATTTATGTTTGTAAATCGATTTATGCATTTACGCGCCCGCAACATGCATTAACTTTAATAAATGGGATATTCGTGTTAAAGAGCAATATCGTTTCTAAAAAAGGTTTTATGACTTTTATTGTTGTGTAAATAATAACGATAGCGATAAAAGATTCTTTTTAATACAGCAAATCCATGTTGTAGGCATAATACATATGTCATTTTCCACGTGAAATTCTTATGCGATAAGGTAATTCGTTTCAACCAATTTTACGGGGCAGAGATAGATACACAGTTATCTATTTATATTATTACCGTATGTATGAGATAATAGCAAGTAAACGACGACAATATCGTGATAAACATAAATTATAAAATATATTGCTACGGATACTCTAAATACACATACAGTACATGTATAACGATAACAATAAATATATATTGATATCGATATCGATATACTGTATACGTAAACATCAAACACTATCGCTATAACGATAACGATAATAGGCAGCTAAACTAATTCGCAGCTTCTTTTTCCTGTATCATTTCAGTATAATAGCCTATTATCATTTATGATCATATTTATTTCAGTTTTTAAGTGTTGTGAACCGTATAAATTGGTTACCATTTACTTTTTTTATATCGATTTTGTAGTTTTTTTTTTGTAAGGCGCTCGATATATCTTCATTAACTTGGTATAATAAAATTAAAATCATTTGGAGTATACAAACAGACACTTGTAGCGCCTAAATATGTAAATTAAATTTATAATTAACGTGAAAGGTCAATAGGTTACTGTATCATTTGAAATTTCTTTTTTTTAGTAGTGGATTTGTTGTTTTTTGTTCGTATTTGTAAGTTTGTTCATCTCATCAAATTTATTTAATCTCGGAATTTTTAGTTCGAGTAACTTTAATTTCTTCATATATTTATAACATTATAATGAGCTGTAGTGCTGCAATGCGATCTATTTATTTAGATAAAGAATTTAAGTTCTCGCGCAGTTGGTCTGTTTTTTTTTTTGGAATAGGAATCCCAATCTAGATTTGTTCCATCCGGGAACATTATAGGTCGTGCTTGTCACATACAAGCTCATGTATAATATATAATATATAATATAATATATATCATGTCATGGCTCTGTTCACCGAATGGTCGTTCGCATGTTATAATCTCAGCCCAATGAGTACTGTATTCGAAATTTTAGATTCCGTCTTTGGGTTCACTTTATTAACGTTAGTAATTACGTATTAGTATCGATCGATATACGTATGCATTTGGTATTCATGTCATGTACGTATTAAGAGTTACGTAATACGTAGGTGCATGTGGTTCACTGAAACGATTTTGCATTGTTTGTGATATTAACGTACATGTACGTATAACGATAATACATGTACATATACGTATTTTGTTACAAATTGATTTATTGTCAGATGTTAATGGTAACATTTCTGGATGAGCACCACTAATAATTGCTGAACTGTATTACGAACATGTACTGTATTTTCCATTTTTAGATACTCGTCACTGTAGGTTAGCCAATCAGATTCAAGAGTGTAATCAGCTCGTGCTGTATTAATAAAGGATTGTGCTATTTGTAACAAAGGATTAAAAAAATGGGATGCTGTTGTTCTAGACGCTTTATCGAAGAGGAA